TTTATGCGAAGAATTTCGGAGTCTGGCGACGAACCCAAGGCTGCTGCTTTGATCCTCCTCTTCCCTAACAACGGGCTTACCGTGGCAGAAACATGCAGGGTGGGGATTTCTAGTTTCACTCTTGCTGACACAAATCAAGTGCAGGTTGCTCAAGCTGTGAAGTATATTAAGTTCACAGAGTTTTAACAAAGGGCTACCAAACCGCAGAACCCCGGTGTGAGTCACACTTCTTTCAGATGTCTTTTTAATTATATTAAATGAAAGTTTGGGGCACTTTCATGCTGATGGGCAAACATCTTGATCTCTTGAAAAAGCTTCTGAAAGTACTCCCTGTAGCTATAGTTAATATACGACATTGTATGCACACTGCTAGCCAATTTATTCCAGCCACTTTAACAACGATACCTCGCTTGACACGCCACGCAGAACAGCATCAGGAGTCGAGCAATGTGCAAATCATTAGAGGACTCCGAAAGTTGTTTGACATGCACTGCAGAGCTCTTTGTCATACAGCCAATTAAGTGACCAAACAAGGAACTCTAAAATCCTCATTAATTTGCCCCTTTCTATATAAATGGAGGTTAGAGTCTTTCTTGTCACAGGCACAACAAGAACACAAGTAAATGTAGCCTAATTCAATTTATGCTCCCTTTCAGAACTACATGTTTCTTTCGTTTAGTCTTCACAGAAGTTGGGATCAGCCATGCAAGCAAAAGAGAAGTGGGACAAACAGAATTAATACACTTTAAACAGTACTGGCTAAGTCCCAGATGCACCTTTTATCTGCTGAGAGCTACTAGGTTAGCAAAGGAAAAAAAAAAGTCTCTTCTACTCAGCTCTAAACTTAATGCCTTGAATCCTCTGAGGAAAGCCTTTCATTTTTTGCTTAGTATAGCAATTCAAACAGCCCATGTTACAAGCGTGAAGCGTTCAGAAAACTTCCAGAAGAACCAGAAGGACAACTCTGACTGCAACCACCCACCACTGTCTGCTACCTGGAACTTGCGAGCAGCTCAGCACCAGCTTCATCGGTGGCTCTGATGACACCTGCACCCAGAAGCTCTTGTGATCTTCACAGAGCGGGTGGCACCCCCATAATCTTTGCCATTTGCTGTATAGATAAGCCCAGAATTACAAAACAGAGCAAGCTGATTTACAGGACAGCCTGGAGGACGGCAGGAACCAGAGCAGCAAACACTACTGCACCAGGAAAACACTACAAAAGCAGTGATCTGCTGCCTTCTTCCACTCTCCCCACAAAGCTGCCACTCAGGCTATCAATTGTATTCCTCAGCCTCCAGCTTTGAAGCCACTGAGACTGGCTTTAAAAAATAAAAAAGTCAAAAAGAATGGGAACCCTGTGAAGTTTTTGTCTTTCAAGATCTGCATCCCAAACACAACATTTCACATGGGAAGAGGCTGCTGGCTGGCACTGCAGGGAAAGGAATTGGCCTCATGATGCCCCAGAGCTCCAGCCCACAAATCCAAGCAAAGCAAGGAGGTGAGCTTAGATTTTGTAACCAGGTGCACATGTGTGATAAAAAGACTACACACCCAGATGTGGTATGAGCCTTTATTAAGCTTGTGTTTCCAGCTACTGAATTGTACATCAAAATTCTCTAATTATTTCCCACATGTTTAAGTTTTCCGTGTTAATATGGCCTCACTTATTGCAATATCTGAGTACTCAGGCTTTTTTTTTTTTTTTTCTTTACTACCCCACCTCCATTCCCAGAGGCCCAGGGAATTGTATCCATAGCATTTTAAGTTGGGGAGCTGAGAAGTAGTGAGCACATGCCACTTGCTGAAGGGCATGGAAGAAATCCGTGACACCAAACCCAGTTTCACAGTCCCCAAAAGACAAACATTTTGTGTTTTCTACAATTCTTGTGCTTCAGTTTAATGAGAAAGGCCTTTGGAAAATGAACAAATAGAAATTCTGAAAAAATTACAGAAAATTTATACTGGCTGATGTCACACACCAGTCACCAAATGAAACTATGCTAATCAAATGCGTCATCCATTGTGACTCATTCTCCCACATGATGACTTTTCCATCCCTTCCCTAAAATAGAGTGCAAGAAGAGTACAATGCAGAAAAGTGGGCATGAGAGATGTAAACCTCTGCTCTCCAAAAAGCCATGCATGAGGCCCAAGCTCTCCTTAGCTAACTAAGCACCTTTCTGAAGCCTCTCATGTCATCCATCTTGGATATCCACCTTGGTCAGCTCAGCCTAAGTTGACTCTTAGTACCACGTGGAAGTTTCTTAAACATCACTGTGATTGAAAAATCTCCCAGAAATTGTCCGGTCATTATATTAATACGTATTTATCATGTCACCTGTCAGGTTGGTTCTTGTTGGATTTTTGAGACAAAAAGATCATTTACCGCACTTGCAACTAAAGGAGCAGCATTTGTAACTTCTATTTCCAATAAAGAAAATTCCTGAGCAATTCAAAAACTCAACAAATATTGTGACACTATACAAATTAAATCAATATTTATTTTAATTATAAAGTCACCCAGAGAGATGAGATGATAATCTGATACAGCATTCCCAGGCTCATATTTGAATAACTTGCAAAATTTCCAGATTCATTTTACATACTTATTTATATTCATTTATTTTGGGCTCAGGACAACTTTAAACCCCGATTGCTACAGGGGCTTTGTCATGACTACTTAACATTTGTCAGCCCAAAGAAAACAGTACGACTGATTTTAGCAACTATTATCTTCTCAAGTCACACTCCTCCTCCCCAAAATCCACCTTTCTTCAATTGCTCTTTTGATATTTAAAATTGCTGGACATCTCTCACATAAACTTTGTATCACACTTTGTGCTCTAGGTACACTTCCAGCCCTGTGAGCTGAATTCAGCCATGGATGCTCTTCACAATAATGGGATCAGTATACGGAGATCACATCAGCAAGGTTGAAAACTCTATTTCTCTGCCATCAGTGGCATATTTCTCAGTGACTTCCCATCTGCCATTGACTTCACAAAGTCCAGGATTTCACCATTTAAGATTTGTTGAAAAATCTCTGCTAAATTGCCTTAGCCAGCCCAGACATTTCACTGCCTGGTAAAGGATAAGTGGCCTGTAACAGGAATATCTGCAGTAACATTTAATTGCTATTACAGACAAACTCTCCCTCACAAGACTTTTTGATGAATTTAGCTACATGATTTTCCAAATGGAAACATACTGTATGAAAATACGTCCAGATACATTACTTTACCTCCATATAATACAAAGCAGAGCTGGAAAGGTTCAATTAGGTCATCTAATTCATTCTTCAAGCCTTCCATTACAGGACTGTCCTCTTCAATATATTTACCAGCTTTGTCTGTATTTATATTAAGCAGCTCAGGCAATGAGCTTTCATCAGTTTTTGTCTACTAAAGAGGTAGGCACATGATTAATGTTTAAACACACAAGCAGGCTTTCCAAGTGAAAAGGAAGAAGTCCTTGAAATTAAGGCTAAGCTGAAGTTTGTGCAGAATATTCAGGCTTTATTGTGTCAATGCCAAGCTTTCTGTAGACTATATTAAACTCACTATTCACAACTGTTTGAAAGAAGACAAAAAGACCAGGAGCATGCATCAACTCTACAGAGTACACTGGTGCAGCTAGTGGAAAGGACAGCTCAGGTCAGCAACAGGATCTTGTGGTCCATGGTTAAACCAGCCTCACCACATTTCCAGTGGTACCAGTAGACAAGATAGCTAGCTTGGGAGTGAGCGTTGCACTGTAAAGTTTCCTAAATTCCTTCAAATGCTAGTTACTTTATCTGGGATCTTAAGAGAAGTCACTCCAGACAAAGGATGTATAACTCCATAATTCATCTTTATCCATTAATGTATATGGAAGGGAAAAAGTGACTTTCTCTCATGACCATATACAAAGGGAAGACAGACAGCGTACCAGCACAGAGGGGTATTGTTTCATTTTTGATGTCCTAGAAATCTAAACCATCTAAACCCACATGTTAAATGAGGCATGCGCTCACAAAATAAAGTCAATACCGACTGTAGGAAGTTGAATTTTGCAGGAAAATTCAGGTATGGACAGCCCCCTCCAGAAACATGGGGTTCATTTTTACACCTCTGCATGTTATACATAAACATATAAAAAATGATCAACCACCCATAAGTACAACATCAATGTTCATAAGTACAAGACAGAAATTAGAAAGTAAAACATTCACATTTCTTAAAGCAGCATTAACTCACTCACAGTATACGAACAGGTTTATACAAAAGTCACTGGAGCAAATGCTATAAGGCAAGGTGACAGGATAAATAACACAACCTGAGGCCCCACTCTTGAAAAGCCTACAAGCAGGTCTTTCCAAAATGCTGGAGCTTGACTTTGTTCATGTAAAACACAATGTAAGCCTACAAAATTTGGACCACAGCTGGGTGAACATTATGGGACATTATGTTCCTAATCCTATATTTAGTTTGCAGCACTCTCCTCCTTCCCACGTCCCTCTGTGAGGACACTCTGCACTTCATTACGATCCTACCTCCTCCCTCATGCCAAGTGTTGCCATTTTGAATTGTTTCTAAATTTGCGAGTGTAAGACGGGAAGAAAGAAAACTAAGGAAATGCAGGCGGTAATTATATGAGTGACATGCCACAAGTGAAACCCAGCTGGTCTGGAGTCTCTGGAGGAGACGCCTCCATGAGCAGCAGTTTTGCATTCTTTACTTGAACGCATTCATCCTGTCCTGCTTATTCCGATGGCCATCTGAGTCTTGTCAGATCTCTCCCACTTACTGGCTCAGAGATTTTGCCCCAAACTTTTGTCAAGTCTGAGAGCAACAGGGCAGGTGCAGGGAGACAGAGAATGAAATTGTTATCCTGTAACCTTAACCTTAGAACTTGCTGCCACAAAGACGGTAATAATCAGATTATTCACAAAGACAAGACCCACTTCACAGTCATTCAGTCAAACAACTGGATACGTGTATTAAAAACACATGAAATACCTGGACATAGGCCCTGCAAGAGCGCTCCCTTTTCTGAAGCTGAGTCCATAAAGACAGCAGATTAAAGACGGAATAGAAAAAACAAGTTAGTGACAGAACAAGGGGAAAAAAAAAAAATGAAGAAAACGCCTATGAAAAAACCTCATTTCTTTCTCAAACAGCTCCTGAAAACCAACCAAACCAAAGGAAGCATGCGAGTTAGGCAGCAGTGGAAGGCTGGAAGGACTGTCTCCAGAAGTATGGGTTAGTCCTTCACTGAAAGTGAAGGAAAGCACAGACTGGCAGCTTTGCAAGAGCAGCTGTTAGATGGTAGGAGACACTGAAGTCAAGTAGAGATGCTCAAGAGATGTTTTCCTTATAGCTTGGAGTTCACACATGTTATTTCAATGTCAAACAAGGCTGGAAAGGATGAGGCTGATGCTTCTTTACATAAGAGGAGTGTGGGCTCTGCAGTCAGGCAGTGCTGATGGCAGTGAGGTTAACCAAACTTTGGATGAGCAGGACCAATTCCAGGGAGCAAGATGTATGCAGGGCTGCATCCTGATACAGGATGGACCTCCACAGGCCCATGCTGATACACTGCTCAGGTCTCTTGCTCAAGACAAAACCCGTAGCACTCCAGCTTCACTGCTGTGAGCTTGCTGAAAGCCAGCTCAAGCACATGTTGAAAGTGCACTGAAGGAGACAGCATTGCCCAGGGGTCCTGACAGCGTGAAGGGCCACCGAAGAGGATGTAACAATGAAATGGGAATCAGATGTAGTATTTCCAGTTGAGGCCATCCTCTCCCCTTTGGATTAAACTGCTTCTCCAGGAATGCATTTTCCAGTCCTCTCACACTGAATTGTGCTTTCCTTTGTAACTCCTGGGCCTAAATGCTTTGTATGCTGCATAGCTTTTCCACAGTGAACCCCACCTTTTCCACAGAAGGCACATTTTGGACTGTACTTTGATATGCACTTGCATGCCTCTTGCCTGATAACTGCACTTCAGGGTGTCACGAAATTCAAACAGGCACTTATTTACCTCTCCGGGCCTTTGCAGGCAGTGAGCTCGAATTGGTGAGCTCTGCATCGGTGCAACTAAACCTCGCAAAATCAGGCTGCTCAGAGCCAATGGCTTGGCTGCGTTTGTTTTCGCTAATGTGCCTGGGTTGGAAATTGCACATCAATAGAGATTCGGGGTAACTTGTGCTCTCATCTCACAGCAGTGCAATCCCATTAGTACAGCTGTGAGCCAAATTTGTCCCCGAGAGTTTTGAGGCTCTGAAATAAACAAAATACACCCAGGTATCACGCAATGCCTAATTTCAATTTCTAATTCATCAATTTGTAACAGCAGAAATCTTCCTCTGGGTAAACTTGGCCAGTACGAAGACTCTACAGAAACAAATGGAGATCAAAGAAAGCCTTGCTGAAAATTACAGAGCTATCCACTCGGGGGTCTTGCTGGTCTGCAATGGAACAATTATTACCTTAATTAAGCCTGATTCAGTAGAAAGCATAAAGCTTTTAGTGACAGGAAAGTGGCTCCTGAAAAATGATGGCTTTTAAAAATTCTGATTTATGCCATTTTATTTCAATTCATTGTACATCAGCTTGAAAAAAAAACCCCAAAACAGTACAAAACAGCACAGGTGATTACTTTCAGATCCCTAGCACATTTCCTTTAATGATTAAAAGAATATTTAATGGCAGTGCTTACTTTATTTCTTCTTTCTGACTAAACAGCACTAAACAAAACTCTTTGCAAATGACTTTTTTCCTCTTTTTTTTTTTTTTTTTTTGGAAATACTCTTGATCAGTGAAGGGGAAAATGGAGCAGTAACTCTGCTGCCTTTTGTTTGCCCAATACTGCTTCCAAGCTGAATTCATGCATTCTTAAATGAACACAGAGCAGTTACTCTTCTAAAGAATTAAGTGGGGAATGAGAGCAAGTAAATTACTGAGCCTGTCATTTGGATCACTGACTCGCATCGCTGTTTTGCAGGACTCCACGCAGTCCAGAATTTTAATGCGGAGTGCAATTGATTTGTATGAGCCGCTTGTGCAAAGCTGGTGGCGGGGGGGGAACCTGCAAGGGGGACCCCAGGAGTGACAGCCGAACCAAGGAGCTTTGCCTAGCCCAGTCCTCCCCTCCCCTCGGTAACTCATACCTGCCCCCATGATACAACCCTGTTTCATGTAATTGAAACAAATATCAGAAGGCGGGACAGAAAAAGATGAAAAATATGTGCTTGCAAAGCTCAAGTGGCAAAAGGTTGGGTGTGGCTAGGGCATATTCAGAAGAGCAAGCAGACTACAACCATGAAACCGTTAGTAGGTGACATTAATTGCTAGTTTTACCTGATATTGTCAGACATCACATCATTTCAAACAAAGAACCATGGTATGATTATAACAAATAATGTTATGCTGATGTAACAGTTAATACAATTATTACCTACATTGCTATAAAATAGCTGGAAGCACTAATTAAAAGCATCAGGATAACCCAATTCACAGCACATGCAAAGCACATGAGATGCAGGACTTCAATTCCTATGCGGCTGTAATCTTAAACAATCCAGAAGCCCTTTGCATTTAAAACAGCGTAAGTCTACAATAATAACTTACAAGAAAAGAGACAGTGTTACTTCTCTGAAAAGTATTTCTCTTCGGAAGACACACAAGAAATTTCAGGCTTAGCTGGGATCATTTATTTGCTGTATAACCTTGGGACCAAGTTCTGTTCTCACTTACATGGATGCCAGGGCTGTCAGAGCCAGCTACGCAGCTGAGAACAAAATTCTGTGTCTTATTTTAACTGGGGGGCCAATATAACATGTGCTCACAGTCACAGGGTTCAGCTGCTCTTTGGTCTGATGACCAGGCCTGCACAATTCACCACCTGAATCTTACATAAGTCTTATCCCATGTGTTTAACATGAGATTCAGTGATGAAGAGGGCCTTGGACCAAGGAAAACCTCAACTTTAAATGTATTCTTATGGACTCCACAGCCCATGTTTCCTCCCATGACTGGCAACTTCTGGCAACTTTAGTATGTAGCAATTTGATTTAATTCTGGAAGTGACAAAAGGACTAATAATTCTTCTCAAACAGGGGCACAGAAAACACACCATCATCATGCAGTAAGGCGCTTTTGGGCTAACTCACAGGTCATCACTAAAAAGGCCCTCTAATACTAAACCATCCTGAAGATCTTAAGTGTAAATATGATGGTATCTTATGTGCCTTTGGTAAATGTATCTCCATTGTAAATAAATGTTTCTGTTTGCTTTTATTTGTTTATACTGATGCATAAAACTGTTCTTTTGATATATCAGCACATCAGCATCTTGTAATGTTACAAGATGAAAAAAATCAAAATCCAGACTCTCTTGTCTCTTGGGGCTTTAAATATTCATATTTTCTGGATCATATTGCACGGCATTTCACATACAGATTCAGCACTGGAAACGATGGAAAAAATTCTGGTCTCATTCACACTGGCACAAGTCCAACATAATTGCCGTGGCATCACTTGAGTTACTCTCATACTGAGCTATGAGAGCTGAGACTGCAATGAAGTACCTGGAGTTCATATACCTACACATCTAAGGGTATACATTTGCCAGCACCAATAGTACACTTGGCATTTACAACTGTTTCATTTCTCAGCAGAATAAAATACACTGTAAACGAAAAACTGCCAGGTACTCTTAACTACTACAAAAGAATCACTGGCCTAAAATGGCAGTCATTCAGAAAGGTATTTATAATAGTTTTACAAGGAGAACCAAACCCTTCTTCAGCCTCCTGTCCCTTCCCGAGTCCCTTTGTTTTTACCTTATTTAAGCTGCGTGCAGCACTGTCCTTCCCACCCGGAGTCAGGTTTCGGAGCTGCACGTCAAGCAGGTTCACCAGCTGGACCATGGCGGACACAGAGTACGTGATGTCTCCAGCATACAAGTGGTTTTTTGTGTGCTCCGCAAGCTCCCGGGCAATATTGGCAGCCATCTCCCCTGACTTCATCTGCAATTGAGAAAGTGGAGGAAAAGGTTGTCTCCAGCTGTTAGTATGATGTTACTCCAGTCCCTTCCAGCCCCACTGTGTTGAGTCAACTCCCCGCAAGAAGAAGAGGAGAGAATAGGAAGAGAAGAAGAGAGGAAGAGAAGAAGTTCCCAGGAAGGAAACTACACCAATGGACATCATGGTTTGATCATGTACAGTGTTTGAGTATGGTTTTAAATGCAGGGTTTTTTTTCCAGCTACAGTCATCATATTGTCTTCAACACTATGGTCGCCATGTTGTCTTCAACACAATTTCTGATCTTCTCACGGTGCAGTGCTGGAATTGAGGGGCCACTGCTTCTTTGCACTGCAGCAGATGCAAGCAAAGATAGCACTGGTTTCCATGGGCTGCCCATGCTAGGGAGGGCTTCAGTTAGCTTGTTCCATTGCCTTATCTATGCCACTTGAAAAAAACCCACCATGTAAGTAGTCTCTCCTGTCAAGAAAGAGCAGTTTCTGGTTCCAGAATATTATTTGATAGCTATGATATGACTTTTGTTATAACTCCTGTGTAAAAAAGTTCTTTGTAAAAAGAACAAAAATAGATGACATAACCCAGATGAACAAGAGAAACAAGTTCACAATCCCCATCATTTGGATTTAATAATCAGGTGTTAATTTACCACTTAGCATTTGCATGCAGGAGACGTGCTCCTTACCACACTAGCCACTACATCTGTAATGAGGTTAGCGATTGTCAGCACATAAATGCATACTAACTCAGGAGCAAAAGGCTTAAGACTTCAAGCAGAGGCCTGCTGGAAGGGAAAACCAAGTAGGTTGTTTGGCTGAATCTTCTATTAAAAGATTTCTATTGTCTAGTTGAGTCATAAAACTCATGAATCACCTGCAGCAAAATTCACTGTGTAATTATTTGGGAAACGCTCTCTTTCCCCTTGTGGCTTTCCCCCCTTTCTTGCTCTGTTTTGCTCTCACTATCTGCTGCCCCTTTCCTCTTCTATGTCATGAGGACTGGGGACAGAGCAGCTGGTCCCACCTCCTTTCTACGAGCAGCCCACTACAAAAATATTACTGCAGGTTGCTGGTCTTTTTTTTGTTACATACCATTCTGTGATTTGGAATGCATATCTATGGGGAATATGCCAGGGGTAAGGAGAAATTACACAGGAGGACGTTTAAATGAAGCTCCCACCTCTCTGTTGGGCTCAATGACCAACTCTGCTGGGTTCTTCATAAGAAATTTCCAATTGTCTTATCTTCCAACAGTTAGAAATCAGGTATTTCTCTTGTTCCCTCAATTTCTGGTGCTTATAATAAAATCAAGATTCTAGGGAAGGATTGCAGGCTGAGCTTCTACCTCTCTGTAAATCAATTAGCTGAGTTATAAATGAATAACTTACTTCCATCAATTTGACAGCAACAGCCCATCTGATTTAATGAAATCTAACTAAAGATGTTCATATGCTCATCTTCAGAGAATTAAAGCATATGATGATATAGATAAGATAAATAAAGGAGATAATGTGTTGCTCTTCCCATTAGAGCAATGATAATGTATATTCAAAAACTGAATTATTTCTTCCTTGTTACACGCAAGGCTAATGCCATAGAAACCAGATCCTATTCTTATAGCTGCCTGCTCTCCTAAGCCATGCATCAGCTTAGAGGCTGAATTTTGACCTCTTCTGTTGGCATTCAGAATTTTAAAGAATGACTGCATCAAGTCCTTTTATGTAAAGAAGTAAATTTCAACATTTTCCTGCAGTTCATCGCTGGAGTTAGCATGTGTGTTGCTGTAAGTCTTGCAGAAAACTGCAGGAATGTAAGAGCTTTTTACAGGTACATCAGAAACAAAAAACCCTACTATCCAGTATTTGATGTGTACATTTTCCCTTGGACCATGCACCTGTGCAAACTGGCATACAACAAATTGCTCAGCTACTGCAACGGCAAACCCCTG